ACGGTCTTTCCAACGGAAATTTTTCTCCCCCGTGCGGAGGTTTTTCTGTTTCGGACTCTCACCTTTTCCCCTCTCACTCCCCGTAGAGGGTAGAGGGGGACCACCTCCCACCCTGGAGTCTCCGATCCCGGCCCGATTTTATCTTCCCTGGTTCGCACTCACGTTAGAAGGCTCTCTCAGTGGATTCTGCGTCTTTTTTCTCCCAATCTCTCAGGTTTTGTAAGGTTTCCAATGGCTTCAGATATTTTCTGTGTGATGTATGGGCGCGAGTGCAAGTACGGAGCTCCTTACTTCTCCGCCATCTTGCCCTCTTCCGAGACAGACTCTTAACTATAGAGAACAAACTGATAGCTGGAGGGTAGGGGAGTGGGGAGATGGGCTAGATGGGTGATAGGTATTCAGGAGGGCACTTGTTATGAACAGTGGGTATTTAAGTGATGATGAGTCATGTAATTCTACATCTGAAACCAAAACTACACTGTGTGTTTTAAATAACTGGAATTTAAATAAAAACTTTAAAAAAAATAAAAAATAAGGGTGCCTGGGTGGCTCAGTTGGTTAAGCATCCAACCTCGGCTCAGGTCATGATCTCAAGGTTTGTGGGTTTGAGCCCCACATCAGGTTCTGTGCTGACACCTCAGAGCCTGGAGTCTGTTTCGGATTCTGTGTCTCCCTCTCTTTCTGCCCCTCCCCCACTCATGCTCTGTGTCTCGAAAAAGAAGTTTTTTTTTTTTTAATTAAAAATTAAAAAACGACTATGCTATATTTATTGAAAAAATCCAGGGTGCCTGAGTGGCTCAGTCAGTTAAGCGTCTGATTCTTGATTTTGGCTCAGGTCATGATCTTAGGGTTTGTGGGTTCAAGCTCTGTGTCCGGCTCTGTGCTGTGTTAGCACAGAATCTGCTTGGAATTCTCTCTCTCCCTCCCTCTCAGCTCTTCCCCAGCTCATGCTCAAACTCTTTGTCTCTCTTTCTCAAAATAAATAAACTTAAAAGGAAAAAGAAAAAAAATCCATGTATAAGTGGACCCACACACTTCAAACCTGTGTTGTTCAAGGGTTAGCTGTAGTCATATTAAAAGGTAAAAAGAAACATGTATAGTTAATTTTAATAATGTAGTTGACTTAACCTAACAAATTCAAAATATTTCAACATGTAATCAATATAAAAATTATTAGTGAAATATTTTACATTCCTTTTTATAAACTAAATCTTCAAAATCTGTTGTTTTCACTTGTAAGCACATCTTAATTAGTCTAGCCAGATTTCCAATTTTCCTTGACCACATGTGGCTCAAGGCTATCATGTTAGCATAGGTTTAGATTAATGATTTTCTTTGAATTAATTTTTGACTTTTATATTTTAAACAGTAGTTTCTAAGTGATGCCTACTTTTTTTGTGAAGTATTATCAGTGTTACATTAAAATTTGGCATAATTTGAGGTTATTTTTTAGAAGATTTCATTTTTAAGTAATCTCTATATCTGACATGGGGCTTGAGTTTACAACCCCAAGATCAAGTGTCATACTCTCTACTGACTGAGCCAGCCAGGCATCCCTGGATTTAAGATGCTTTTAACTGAAAAATGAATTTGGATTATAGGCCACTGACTATATTTAATTTTCATTAAGGACCTGGCACTTGGAACCGATGCGGAAGGACAGAAGGTGAAAGATTCTATGCGAGTGCTTCTTCCAGTTCTTCTCAACAAAAATCATGACAATTACGATAAAATAAGAGCAATTCTACTTTACATCTTCAGTATTAATGGTAATTGAGACTCTGTTTTCATGAATATATTGAAATACTCTGCTCTAAAATCACTTTATTTTTATTTATTTATTTATTTATTTTTAAATTTATTTCTGAGAGACAGAGACACAGCATGAGCAGGGGAGGGTCAGAAAGAGAGGGAGTCACAGAATCTGAAACAGGCTCCAGGCTCTGAGCTAGCTGTCAACACAGAACCCGACACGGGGCTTGAACTCACGAACTGTGAAATCATGACCTGAGCCAAAGTCGGACGCTTAACCGACTGAGCCCTCCAGTTACCCTTAAAATCACTTTATAATAAGTACTTTACTGTTCATCATAAGGGAGTCTCAGAAAATTCAAAGGTTGTAGCTGAAGTTGATTAAGATAAATATAAACAGGAAATTGGGAGATCAAATGGGCTATGTAATTAAACATTTGCTTTTTATTTAAAAAACTTTATTCATGAGTACTACCTAAGCCTATAGATGATTGTGGTAGCAATTATGTGACTGTGTACTTACATATTTTTATCTAAGGAACTACAGAAGAAAATTTGGACCGATTGATCCAGAATGTAAAGATAGAAAATGAGAGTGACATGATCCGTAACTGGAGTTACCTTGGTGTTCCCATTGTCCCCCCAGTAAGAATTTTACATTTGTATATATATCTTGATGTACATACATATGTGATTGTTTACATTAAATATGTTTTCTCATGGGAAATCTATGTGGATAGTCTTCTCAATTTGACTTGATAGATTTGTTAAGCAAAAAAATCTTAATTTTGTTGTCTGTATATGAGTAATTTAGGCAAATACATTTTCTAGTGAATTTATACCTTATGTTTTCTGTTATAATTTGCTTTATACTTTTCTGTATGATTCATTTACAGCAAATTTTGAAAGAACTCTGTTTAAAATCTTGGTCTTTACCATCAAGTTTTATAGCACTTTTGAGTAAACATAATTTCTGATACTATTACAGATGTTATCATTAGAGCACAAAATACTGTGAAATTTTGTGACCACTCTTATTCAGATTTTTTTGAGTAAGCATTTCCACTCTTAGTTCTAAGTCAAATATACATAGTATTTGCTATAAATTGCCTATCTTTTTATGAAAATGTAATAAGTTAATATTACTAAATAAAAATTACTGGTTTTGAATTTTTTCCTCTGTATTAGTCTCAACAAGGCAAACCATTAAGAAAGGATAGGTCTACAGAAGAAACTTTTCAACTCTCTCGATGGACACCTTTTATCAAAGATATTTTGGAGGTAAAAATTCTTTATATTTTACCTATACCCTAAGTGCCTATCTGTAGAGTATTCTTTACTCTTTGTATGTTTATCTGTTAGTCTGAGCATATCTGTGGGTCAGGAATTTTCTGCAGTACTGGGAAGGTTCACAAAAGAAGGCTGTATCTGGGGCCAGGGGAGGAAAGGAAACTTGAAGATTCTTTCCATGAAGATATCAAACAAACTTACACACTGATGGCCTCAAAATAAAAATAAGTACACATACTGCCTTATGAAAAAAAACTATTGTTTTAATAACTCTAGGTAGCACAAATATAAATAATATATTTGAATGGAAGGTCAACAAAATAACATTTGTATGTGACCACTGTTAGAAAGTGTTAGACTCCAGGGGCTCCTGGCTCACTTGGTCAGTAAGCATCTGACTTCATCTCAGGTCATCTCACTGCTAGTGAGTTCAAGCCCTACGTCGGGCTCTGTGCTGACAGCTCAGAGCCTGGAGCCTGCTTCAGATTCAATGTCTCCCTCTCTCTCTGCCCCTCTCCGGCTCATACTCTTGTCTCTTTCTCTCAAAAATAAATAAATGTTAAAAAAAAAAAAAAAAAGGTTAGGTTCTAGTATTCTTGGAAATGTATTTGTGATACATTTGTAAACTATAGTTTGCTGTTATATCCAACAGATGGTTTATGCCTTTAATATTGTTTCCTTTTAGAAATTAATATTCAATTATAGGAAATTAGAAAATGAACTAATAGAAGTTATATTATGAACAATAAAATCATGGCATTGCTTCTTCAGTTATAATCATATAGTTCTATTTATTCCAGTTTTCCTTTGATTTAAACCCCAATTTCTACTTTGCTTTGGAAACTAAACATTTATAGTTTATTACTATGATTTTCCTGTTTTGCTTGGCTAATTTTATGTCACTCACACATGTTTAATCATAGGTAAAAATTTAAAGAATTTAGACTTTGTTATACAGCATAAGATTTTTTTCTCTTATCCATAACACGGATGTAGAACTAAGTAGTCTTTCTTGGCTACTACTTAAAAAAATTTTTTTTCTTAATGTTTATTTTGAGAGCAAGAAATAAAGCAGGGGAGGGACAGAGAGAATCCTGAGCAGGCTTGGCACTGTCAGCACAGAGCTTGATGAAGGGCTTGATTTCTTGAACCATGAGTTCATGACCTGAGCCAAAATCAAGAGTCAGACACTTAACCAACTGAGCCACCCAGGTGCCCCTTCACTAGTACTTTTAAAATAAGAATTGACTTTCCTGTACCCTATAACAAGGATTTACATGTTAATTAAAAAATAAAATCCATTTTAGGCATTTTAAGGCCTTCAGAATTTCTCCTAAAACTTTGTTTCTTTGCTTCTTAGAATCTATTTATGTATTTGTTTATTTAATGTTTACAATTAAACATTAAGTTTAAGTAAGTAAACTTTACTTGCTTATTTACTTTCTTACATCCAAGTTAGACTTCTTACAGTCTTAATGAAATATTCTTGGACTACTCAGTACCTTGCGCTCATTCCTCGTGCCCACTTAGTAATACCTTTTATTACTACCATGCTGTAAAGCAGTGGTCTCCAAACTGTTGTAATCATGTACACTGAACTAAAAATTATGAACATGAGCTTATAGCATATGAGCTATTTATAAGCTATGTATTACTGTACTAATGAAGCATCTATATATAGTACACCCATACATAGAAATATGTCATAAAATATAACCCTAAAAAAAGGAAATTTTCTTAAACATAAAGGAAAACTTCTCTTATCTCCTTAGATTGTCTTGATTACCACGAGGTCAGGAGTGTACATTTTATTATAGAACCATTGCAACGAAAGCCAAGGACTGGACTCTCCAGTAGCCTAAGAAGTTTGTCAGGACTAGGATGGTAGATAGAAACCCCTAGTGCTCTAGAGATAAAGGTGTTGATAAAGTGTCTGCAGTCCTTACACCAGTAGACCCTCCAAATGAAGAAGTTTAGACATTCTGTAAATATTAATTTAATAAGTAAAGGATTACATTAATTTTTGGAGCAAATAAGGTTTGTAAGTTTCAGAGAGAGGGTTAACCTTATTTTATTAAATATTTATATATCTTGAGGTTAATTGTTAACACAAATTTTGAGTTTTATGCAAAACATACAAATAAAAAATCCTAGAGGGTGTGCCTGGGTAGGTCAGTCAGTTGAGCTTCCCACTTCAGCTCAGGTCCTGATCTTATGGGTTGTGGGTTCAAGCCCTGCGTTGGGCTCTGTGCTGACAGCTCAGAGCCTGGAGCCTGGATTTGAATTCTGTGTCTCCCTCTTTCTCTGTCCCTCTCCAGCTCATGCTCTGTCTCTCTCTCGCTCTCTCCAAATAAAATAAATATTAAGAAAAAAATCCTGGAATTTACATTTTTTGATGGTGTTAATTCTTTTTTTCTCTAGGATGCCATCGATAATAGATTAGATTCAAAAGAATGGCCATATTGTTCCCAGTGTCCAGCAGTATGGAATGGCTCAGGGGCTGTAAGGTAAAACCTATGAAAGTATGATATTATAGACTAATTATTGAAAGTATTCTTATATTGAGAAGTACTCATATATTGAGAATGCTCTTGGAAGCATAGTTACTTAACTAGCAGTTTTTCTTTAACTGTGACCTGTTTTAAATGAGTCTAGGTAAGCAATATGAAAGCATACTATACCATAGAACAACTGAATGTCCTGACCTTATGTAATGCAGGGGTGTCAACTCCCAGACCCTACTTTGCCTGGTGCCTAAGACTGTCTCCTTTGTTCATTAAATGGGTAAACACCCTTGTTTGATGAGATTAAGCTAACGTTCTGTGAGGCAGACCAAGCCTTAACTCAGTTAACCAGCCTAGTTTTTGGCTTCCTTTTTACTTCTGGCCTTTTGGAGATTTCTCTTACTTGTTTACTTTCAGCTGTGCTTTTAAAAAGAGGTTTACTCTTATTTTAACCAAAGCTGCTAGAAGCTTTCTAGAGTGAGATTTTCAGGATCTAGGGATTTTAATTACTATTTTTTGTATTTATCAGAATGTAAATCACTAGCAGAGCATCTTATACATGTATGTGAAACAAATTAAATATAAACTTCTATTCAGAAGTTTAAAAATAGAATCACATAGTTGTTTTGAGCAGTATAATCTCCCTCCCCCATGCCCCCCCCTTTTTTTTTTGCTTTCTTACTCTATTTCTTTTGAAATAGTTTTTAAACCAAAATTGCACTTTTAGGGTTGCCTGGGTGGCTCATCTGGTTAAGTGTCTGACTTTAGTTCAGGTCATGATCTCACGGTTCATGGGTTCAAGCCCCGAGTTGGGCTCTGTGCTGACAGCTAGCTCAGAGCCTGGATCCTGTCTTTGGATTCTGTGTCTCCCTCTCTCTCAGACCCTCCGCTGTTCATGCGCTCGCTCGCTCTCTCTCTCTGTCTCTCAAAAATAAATAAAACAAAATTTTTTTAATTGCACTTTTAGTATCTCCTTGATTTATTTTATATGGGAATCATGAGTGTATGTTAATTCCTGTTTCATATTTCAAACCAGTTACTGATTCTCTTTACTTTTTTCTTTTGCTTACTCCTTCATTGTTTCTTAAGATGTCAGATGGACATAGACCAGAACATTATTAAAAGTTTACCATGGGATCCTACATTGCAGGATCTTAGAGGCCCTCTAGAACATGGTTTCCAAAATGGGTAACAAGGTGATTTGAGGGTATTTATTTTTACTAAAAAAGGAAGAAATTAAAGCTTCATTAATATGCATCAGTACACATATAATTTTTATTTTATTTTATTTTTAATTTTTTTTAATGTTTTATTTATTTCTAGGAGAGAGAGAGAGAGAGAGAGAGACAGTGTGAGCAGGGGAGGGTCAGAGAGAGAGGGAGATACAGAATCTGAAACAGGCTCCACGCTCTGAGCTGGCAGTCAGCACAGAGCCCGAGCGGGGCTCGAACCCACGAACCGCGAGATCATGACCTAAGCGAAAGTCGGACGCTTAACCGACTGAGCCACCCAGGCGCCCCCACATATATAATTTTTAAACTAGTATATATTTTTAATAGATGTACAAAAATTTTTTAAAAATTTTTAAACATTTATTTCTTTTAAGGTCTTAATTTATTTGTGAGAGAGAGTGTGTGTGCAGGGGAGAGTCAGAGAGAGAGGGAGATATAGAATCTGAAGCAGGCTCCAGGCTCTGAGCTAGCTGTCAGCACAGAGTCTGACACGGGGCACGAATCCACGAACTGTGAGATCATGACTTGAGCTGAAGTGGGACACTTAACTGACTGAGCCACCCAGGTGCCTCTAGATGTACAAAAATTTTATTTTGAAATATATAGTTTTCAAGTAAAAGCTCAGAATTTTTACTAGTGAAGATGGGAACAAAAAAATGATTCCTATGAATAGCAGTGCTATCCAATAGAACTTTCTTGCAGTCCTGGAAATATATATCTGCCCTCTAATATGGTAGTCACTAGCCACATGCACCCCTTGAGTACTTGGTATGTGGCTAGTATGACTGAATTTTTAATTTTATTTAATTTTAATTAAATTTAAGTAGCCTCAGGGCACCTGGGTGGCTCAGTCAGTTGAGTGTCTGACTCTTGATTTCGGCTTAGGTCATGATCTCATACTTCATGGATTCGAGCTCTGCATCAGGCTCTGCACTATCAATGCAGAGCCTGCTTGGGATTCTCTCTCTTTGCCCCTACCCCATTCACAATCTCTCCCTCCCTCTCTCTCCAAATAAATAAATAAACTTTAAAAAAATTTAAATAGGTTCGTCTATACAATGGAATACTACATGGCAATGAGAAAGAATGAAATCTGGCCATTTGTAGCAACATGGGTGGAACTTGAGGGTGTTATGCTGAGCAAAATAAGTCAGGCAGAGAAGAACAGATACCTATATATGTTTGCACATATAGGTGGCTTACGAGGAACTAACAGAGGACCTTGGGGGAGGAGAAGGGGAAAAATAGTTGAGGAGAGGGAGGGAGGCAAACCATGAGAGACTTTTGAATGCTGAGAACAAACTGAGGGCAATAGGGTTGGAGGACAGGGGAAGGGGGGTGATGAGCATGGGGGAGGACACTTGTTGGGACGAGCACTGGGTATTATATGGAAACCAACTTGACAATAAACCATTTAATAAGAAAAAAAAATTTTAAACAGGAGGTAGTGGCTCCTGTATTGGACAGTGCAGATGTAGAGCAGTCTGGGAGAGGAAGTGATATATAAATAATAGCTATTTTTTTATTGAATGCTTCCCTGGCACCAGATTCCATGCTTTGTTTATCCTTTACATTTTTTAATTTAATCTGGAAACAACCCTTGAGGTTTAGAGAGAGGTTCTATAACTTGCTGAAAGTCCATCTGATTTAGAAGCCAGCAGAATCAGAGTTGGAACCCAGATCTAACTCTTTTTTTTTTTTTAACAACTTTACTGAGGTGTAATTGACTTAAAAACAATGTATATGTTCAAGATCTACAACTTGGTATTTTGATATATGTATATTGTAAATGATCACAAAGTAATAAATATATCTGTTACCTCCACCAAGTTACCATTTTCTTTCGTGTGTGTGTGTGTGTGTGTGTGTGTGTGTGTTAAGAAGGCTCAATTAATAATTTAAGAGCTAACTTTTTAGCAAATTTCAAATATACAATATAATTTTTAACTATAGTCACTAGGCAATACATTAGATCTCTAGAATTAATTGACCTTGGATAACTGAAACTTTGTGCCTTTTGATCAACACTACCTCATTTCCCTTCCCCGCCCTTTGCTCCTGGTAGCCAGTATTCTCTGCTTCTGTGAATCTGTTTCATATTCCACAGAGAAGTGAGATCGGACAGTGTTTGTCTTTGATTCCAATGTAATTTCACTTAGCATAATGCCCTGCAGGTTCATTCATGTTGCCATTAGCAGAATTTCTTTCTTTCTTTTTTTTTTAAATTTTTTTTTTAAATTCAGAGAGAGAGAGAGAGAGAGAGAGACAGCATGATCAGGGGAGGGTCAGAGAGAGAGGGAGATACAGAATCTGAAACAGGCTCCAGACTCTGAGCTAGCTGTCAGCACAGAGCCTGACATGGGGCTTGAACCCATGAACCATGAGATTGTGACCTGAACCGAAGTCGGACGCTTAACCAACTGAACCACCCAGGCGCCCCCCCGCCTTTTTTATAAGACTGAATAATATTCCCCTGAATACATACACTGCATTTTCTTTATCCATTTTTCTACCAGAGGACGTTTAAGTGTTTTCCATGTCTTGGCTGTTTGACCTGAAGTCGGACACTAGACCGCCCGAGTCACCCAGGCATCCTCCCCATTTTTCTTTTCAAGTTTGTTTATTTGTTTAGAGAGAGCAAGCATGGGAGGGAGAGAGAGGGAGAGAGAATTCCAAGAGTTGTACCTTCTTTCATCTGACCCAGCCAGGCATCCCTGATGACAGGTAAATTTGAAGTGGGGCTGTCCTACTTAATTCTTGGTTCTCCAGTCATTTCCATAAAATCAATGTAATTGGTACCAAATTTGAGTTTGCTTGAATTAGCCTTTTTAAGAAATCTACAAGCACTATTGCTTTAGAAATGTTTTTAACATGTTTGTATTTATTTTTTAGTGCTCGCCAGAAACCCAGAGCTAATTATTTAGAGGACAGGAAAAATGGGTCAAAGCTGATTATTTTTGTAATTGGAGGAATTACGTACTCTGAAATGCGTTGTGCTTATGAAGTTTCTCAGGCACATAAATCCTGTGAAGTTATTATTGGTAAGACTTTTTTTTCCTGTTTTCAATTTTATTTTAAATAAACTCTAAATGCAAGAATATATGTAAAACTTTATGTTGTATTTTACATGTAGAACTAAATTGTTCAGTGCAAACGTGTAATTAATCATAGTGGTTTTATGTGATGTCCTGGTTTTTCCTGGTTGATCTTTTTGATAATTTGATTTTTAAATATTCTGATTTTGAAGGAATAATCTTCAAGATATTATATTATTTAAATATTAATTTTTTAAAAATATTATGTTCTCTACTTGCTCTTACTATTAAATAAGTTTTGAGACATAAGTACATTTCAATTACAGAAATATTTTGAATGTTTTTGTGGATGTGACTTTGGCAAGTCCTGTGTGGAATTTAGTTTTAAGAATTTCAATCAAAGCCACTGAGATATAACCTCACCTCGTCTATGGAATGCAACATTTGTACACCAGGTCTAAATCTAGAGCACTGCTTACTGGTCCTGTGATTGAACGGTGACTATCCTGTTCTGCCACAGGGATAGAATAACCTCCAGTTTTGCTCTTCAGCATATCAACATATAGCACAAAAGAGACAGAGCCCTAGGAGTGAGTTACTAAGTCTGCTGTTCATTGAAGAGGAAGGACTTGAAATATTGTGGTATAGACAGATTTCAGGAATGTGTCCTATAGAAATTTTGTTAAATTGCCCCAAGCTGTGGCACTTTGCAATATAATATATTGTGACAGGGCAATATAATTATTCAGAAAGAATCTATTTAAGTGCTGGCTTTTGAAAATCTTATCTTTTCTCCTACCAGGTTCTACGCATATTTTAACACCCAGAAAGCTTTTGGATGATATAAAGATGCTGAATAAATCCAAGGATAAAGTCTCCTTTATTAAGGATGAATAAGGATTTTTTTTTTTTGAGATTTCTATTAACATGTTCAACGAAAATAGATCAAGACAAGGTTGCTACCATGTAATTTAAACACTGTAAATATTTTATGGAGTAATGATTTTTCAAACATACTTCTTAATGGACTTTATGATTACATATCTTTGGATTTGCCATGTTTGATAATTTAAATAGTGTTGCTGCTTTGTAGATGATGAGATGAAATGTTAAAATGCTTTCTAAAAGGAAATTTTTCATGTTTGGAACTGAATATATTAGAATTGTGGGTGATTTTTCACAACTACCTATGTACATATTAAGTACTTACCAGATACTTACCTGTCTTAACTGAAGTATAGTTTTTTGGGAAAGAATTATTTTAAAAGAAAAGGTGGTAAAATTAAAAAGTTTAAGTGTGTGTGTGATAGAATGATTTTCTTTTAAGTACAGGTTTTTTCCCAATTGAAATTCATAATTTCTTTTGTTATTAATAGAAATAATTTTACACTATATCCTGTCTTCCCAGATACTTCTGAAGAACACAGTTTTATGTAAATTCAAAGTCATGTGTGTTTAAATTAGAAAACCAAAAATAATTGTGAATATTCTAAGAGAAAATAAATATATAGTTACAAAAGTTTTCTTTTTGGGGTCAGGGGAAGAAAGGGAAGTTGGGAAGCTTAAAAGTTCTAAATCAGAGTTATAAAAAGAAAAAGAAGGCACCATAATCTTCCCACCAAGATAGCCTGAGTTGATTTTCTATAAAAACAATGTAATATTTGTATAAAGTAGGATGATATAAGGATGTGTCTTCACTGGTGTTACTCAAAGGAAATGTCTTCATTTCAAATATCTCTTTTAACCTGGCCTCGTGGTGTTGTCGCATTATGGACCATAATTTTATATATTATTCATCTTCAGAGTTTTGCTTTTACATATAATGCTGCATTATTTGGGTTCATAACCTTTGCAGACACACTTTTTTTATAATATAAATTTCTAGCAATGGCATAGCTGGTCAAAATATTTGGGCATTTAAAATACAGTTGACCTTGAACGACACAGGTTTACAGGCGCTGACCCACCCTCCCCAACCAAACGATTGAAAATCTTCATGTAACTATTACTCCTCAAAAACTTAATTACTAATAGCATACTGTTGACCAGAAGCCTTACCAATAACGTAAATAGTCGAATAACACACATTTTATGTTACATGTATTATATGCTGTATTCTTACAGTAAAGAGAGAAGAAATGTTAAGAAAATTATGAGAAACAGGGAGCCTGCGTGGCTCAGTTGGTTAAGTGTCCGACTCTTGATTTCATCTTAGGGTTTAAGCTGTGCATTGGGCTCTGTGCTGACGGCACACACAACCTGGTTCGCATCTCTCCCTCTTTCTCTGCCCCTCCCCTGCTTCTGCATTCTTTCCATCTCTGGATGGATGGATGGATGGATGGGTGAATGGATGGATGGATGGATGGATGATGGATGGATGAAAATCATGAGAAAATAATTTACAATACTGTCCTGTATTTATCTTTAAAAAAATCTATGTTGTTCAAGGGTCAACTGTGCTGATAGGTATAACCATTGTTATTATGTAGTAAATCCATCACTTTTCCTTTATGGCTTTTGTATTATATGTTGTACTTAGAAATACTTTTTACGCCCAATATTATAAAGCCACTCACTGTTTGTTTTAGTATATTTCGATGAGTTCATTTTATTTTTACAGATAATTCATCCATCTGGAATTGACTTTAGTGTGAGAATACATGCTAGGTACAGTCTCTTAGCACTTGGCATTATGTCCTATGCCTCCCCATCTCATACCAAAGGGGATGAGAGGCCAAAAATGAAGTTTTGCAGACTCTAAGGTAAGTAGGGTTTGTTCTGAACAGGTTAGGTTCTGCCAGTGATTTGCATTAGGTCAGGATTTGGACGGTAGAGACCATCTACCTTGGCTGTGCTAGTGGATAAGCAAACTCCTGCCATCTGAAGTTTGTAGCAACCAGACTCCATGTTTTAGTGTCTGTTAGCTGCAGCATGGGCATGAGACAGTGCTGGTGGCAGTAGCAGCACTGAATTTGTATTCTCTGCATGACAGAAGGTGATTAATAACCTTGAGTCTAAAAGCATGTTGGCTGGGGCATCTGGTGGCTTAGTCAGTTAAGTGTCTGACTCTTGATTTCAGCACAGGTTATGATCTCACAGTTCGTGACATTGGGCTTTGTGCTGACAGCGCAGAGCCTGCTTAAGATTCTGTAACTCTCTCTCTCAAAAAAAATGAACATTCTCTTTAAAAAAAATTAATAAAAGCATGTTAGCCCCTAGTTTCTGCCCCTGCAACTTTTTCTCTAGATTTTTAAGACCTATATTCGATCCCATTCTTTAAAATACCTAGCAGAGTTTCTGTTCCTACAGTGAACCCTGACTGATACATTATGTAATGGGAATCCAGCTGTCTTCTTAAACACCCAGATATTGTACAGATTTTACTGGGTAATCCCTCTTTCCCCAACTAGTCTGAAATACTACCTTTATCATAGACTAAATATGCATATTGGTCCATATCTGAATTCTGTTTTATTGACCTGTAGTTTGTGTTTTTCCCTATTTTAATTCATGCTGTGTTTTGATGTGTGGTAGATATAATCTCTACTCCACCTAAGTCACTGCTACTTTTCAGAAGTTTTCTAGCTATTACATTTTTCTAAATGAACTTTAGTATCATTTTATTAATACCACAAGTTATTTTGGTATGTTTATTAGGTTTGCAGTAAATTTGTAGGTTAATTTAGGAAAAATTGATAGCTCTATAATATTAAAATTTTAAATTTAGATATATATATCTTTTTATTTACCTAAATCTTTATAACCTTCAGAACCTTTATTCATATAGGAACTGCATATTTCCATAATATCTTTATTTTGTGATTCCATGTGAACTGTATCTTTTATGTTATTTTCAAACATTTTTTTATATAGGAAAGTTGTTTTGATATATTAATTTCATAACTTGCTGTTTTGCTAAATAACAATAATAATACGCAAGTGCTTACTTAGAGCTTTATATATGCCAAGCCCTGTTTTGAAATGCTTATATTACCTCGTTTAATCTTCCTATTTATTCCTGTGAAGATAGGTACTATTATTATCATCTCCATTTTGAAGCTGAGGAAACTAGGGCACATAGAGGTTATGTAATTCAACCTGGATGTGTATCTGAAGAGGAAAGTCTTGACATTAATAAACAGTTCTCTTTGAATATCAAGCATGAGAACAGTATTTTGCTAGTGAAAGGGTTAGTTTTGGGTATCTGCATTTTATTTGCGGTCCTTGTATGCCTTGGTTACTAGCAGTCCAGGGTTAGTACTTGTGTGGAACAGAGATCTACACTAATCCAATGCCCTGTGACAAATGGAACCAAAAGTGTGATGACTGGAAACACTGGCCCATTCATTCAGTCACTTCATACTCAGTGATGACTTTGTCCTATCACAGCGATGTGAGATCCTTTCAGGCCTCCATTTTACACATATTTTAGGCTTAGAATTGGAGAGATCCTTTGTTTCCTAAATCTCTTACTGAATTTGAAAATGTAAGTGTTCATCTTACATAAATTCCTAGTACAAGCTAATTCCGCCTTCAGATTAGCAATTACAAATTCCGATACCAAGACCCTGAAGAAGACATTTCGCCATTAACTAATTGAAACCATTTATTCACTGTCTCTGAAGCCCACATTTGCTTCCTGTTGATAAGTGCTTGGCTTATAAAATCCAGCAGATTCAGACTGTTCAGCCATATTCACAAAAAGATAAGAAGAATATCATTCACAAAGACAAAAATTCTTGGATTTCAGCCCAAAAGCCTGACACCTTATTTTTGTAAGATGTGATGGCTCTATAACTCACTTCTGCTATAGGTATTTGTGACTTTCTGTGAATTCTGTCAGGTTACAGGCAGATTTCTTTTAAAACCAAAGGAGCAAAAGAGTCTTCATCCCACAGTAAAATTTCTGCTACCAAAACAATGTTTTGGATATTAAATGTATTCATATTTAGTATGAATTAGGTCTGTTTTAAATCATTAAGATTCATTCATATCAGTAAGATTGCAGTAGAAAGGAGTGATAAAAAGATGTTTTCATTTGTATAATAAAGTGGATGGCTGAATTTTTTTTTTTAGGATTTTACTTTTGAGTAATCTCTACACCCATCCTGGGACTCTCAAAATCCTGAGATCAGGAATTGTGTGCTCTCCAGACTAAGCCAGCCAGGCACCCCCTAGCATTTAATTTTTTTAATTTTAGAGAATACAAGCTGGGCAGAGAGGCAGAGGGAAGAGAGAGAATCCCAAGCAGCCTTCATACTCAGCACGCACCCCAACGCTGGTCTTGATCCCATGACCTGGGATTGCGACCTGAGCCAAAATCAGGAGTCAGACACTCAACCAACTGAGCCACCCAGGCACCCCTAGAATTTTTTATTAAAGAGATAAAAGCATTCCCCCTCACCCTGCTGTCTTGCCCCTGGCAACCTGAAGCAGCCAGAGCACAGCTACACATTGGAAGTAAACAGAGAGGCCTGTGAACAGTGGAAGCTGCCAGATGTGTCTTTACCACACTGCTGCCCTCAGCAATGGTGAGCCCCTTGACTCAGCATTAGAAATAAACAGTTAGTTAACAAGCTTGTTTTTCTGGTCTGTTACAGCCTCAGAATTAAAAGAGATCTGTCAGAATTTACACAAAGAAGGGAGGAGACAGCCAAGGCTACATAATCAGTACATACAAAATTACCTTTATAAGCCAGAGCTTAGCACTTCCAGGACTTCTTAAGGGACATTGCCCTATTTCTATTTCTTGGAATAAGCATGTCGCAGTGATTGTTCATAATGATCTTCAGTCATTAAGGAAATATAAAATTAACATTTAGAATATAGTTTAATAAAGTAGAGATGGGCCATATTTTTAAGGAAATGATTACAGTAGTTAATTTTCTATAAAGGTTAACTGAGGGCTTAGGAATATTCACTTATTGTGGTCCTTTCTAACCTGGGTTCCATGGATTTGCTTCAGGTGTCTGTGAACTTTTAAAAACTGTGTGCAAAATTGTGTGTTCTTACATCCCTTTTCCCTGCAAGAGTGGAGTAAGGGAGACTCCATACCTTTCGTCAGATTCTCAAAGAGGGTTGAACCCAAAAAAGTTAAGAACTTATGAATCATATAAGAACCCTGCAAGCCAGAGAAGTGTAATTTTAAACTTGAGGACAGGATGGTGGTGCTTGGCACATAAAACAGGTTAGCAAGTTGTGATTAAATTTAGGTAAATGATGAATCTAAAAGCCTCTTAAAAGAGTATATACGCAGTTTATAAACTCCCTTTTTTCTCTTAGAATCCTACTAACAGTGTTCACTATCTTCCTTATAGTGCCACAGCTTAAAGTACCTTTAGCCACAAAATCAGAGGTATCTTCAGGCCGGCCTCTGCTTTATCTCTTCTAAGGCACGCGTAACAAGTTTCCAAGCCCTAAAGTTAAAAATAGCCTGTTCTCCAGCCAGCCCTAGACAAATAGCAGCTGCCTTGGTCACCACGAAGATCTTCAAAGTAGGAATAGATTTAACTCT